AGTGCCACATCCAGTCTCAGCTTGAAAACCTCCAGGGATGGTGAATCCACGACCTCCCTGGGCAGCACATCCCAATGTCTGATCACTCTCTCTCTAAAAAATATCTTCCTAATATCCAACCTAATATTCCTAAGCTTCTGAAACAAGGGTTTACGCTTCCTCACTCTTCCCCCTCTCCCACTTTTCTCTGCCCTCACTGCAGGATGTTTCCTCCTCCTCTTGTCCTTCTCCTGCCACTAATCTGCTGGGCCAAGTACCAGGAAATGATGAGTACTTGGCTTCCCCCACCCGACTAGGTTAGCTGTTAGACTCAACAAGCCTTGACATGCATCTCAACTCACACTTAGCTTGACTTAAACTTGAGAGATCCCCAGCAAACTGGGATTCTTCACACTCTAGTTTTGACCTTTTTGTGTACCTTTGCAGTGCCTCCATTTGGGGCTGAAGCCTTTGACCTGCAGCTGTGAGGTTTTTGTTTTCCAGATGAAGCTGGAACTGAAAATTAGTGTAATCACATGCATCCAAGAATGTGTTGTTAAAAGAATATCAAATGGACTGTCAGTGACAGTACAGTGGTGAAATCTGCAGCACTGCAACTGCCAATGCTAAACTAAGGAGTAGATAAAATCCTGGACTCGATTATCTTCTCCCTTTGATTCTTTTACTCTGTCACTCCACTGACTGTAGAAGTATTCAACTTCTCCCTGAAGTGCACCAGTGTAAGAAAGAGAAGGAACAGCTGTTGAAAGTTTAATGCTTTAAAGCACTGTCTGCTTCAGGCTATTTTAAACGCTCTGACACTTCAGTTTCTGTAAAGTCTGTCGCTTGATTAAAAAGATGTTATTTCGCCACTGATAAAACCACACTAAGTGTTATTGAAAGATTTATTAGTCCGCAGTAATATTTTACAAATTGCAGAGTGTGCTGTTATGCCTCTAATACACTCCAAAGTGAGCAGAGCAGAGCAGCTGCCAACCCTTCCCTCGCCCAGCACTGACTCCAGCGTGGAGCTTGGCTGGAGGTGTTGCTTTCCAGCTCTACAGCCTCTTGGTAAATACCAGGTAGGGATGAACATTTATGCCTCACTTTTTATGCAAAGCCAGAGAGATGACTCTGCAGAGGACAAGCACAATCCCAGGCAACAATCCCACAGGCAGAACCAGTTGTAGAGCTTTGGGAAATGGGAATTGAGTGGTCACACTGTAACATCCTTTGTACAGGACTGTGAGAAGTCCCAGGCTGTGCAAAGCATGCTAGAAGTAACAACCCTCCTTTCACTCCTCCTGCCCCAGGAGTTTGCTTGTAATACAGGCAAAAGTTAGCACTGCTGCCTTCCCTTGGCACCCCCTGCTCAGATCTAAGAGCACTAGATATTTCTGGAAGAAAATAAGCTGTAGGTATTTTGTGAGAAAAACAGACGAGGTTGGATAACATACAGATTTTGAATAGAGCCCTCTAGAAAATACACAGTACAATATAAAAAGAGACAGAGAAATTGCATCCTGTTCCCAGTGTTGGCACCATTGTCTGTGTGACTTCTGGCAAGTGGCTCCTGGACAGAGCTGAGAATACACTGGAATTTTTAGTTAACGGATGGAAGAAAATAAATCTAAAGGTGTTTTCATTTCAGGGCAGTCAAACTACAGATTTTTAATTAACTCATCAAGTTGAAAACACAGAGCACTGGAAAGTGCTGCTTTGGAGACTTTTAGGCTTTGTTGAGCCTCGAAAAAAATGGCCATTTTGAAACAAAAAAGTCTTGTCAAAATGAAAGATTAAAAGTAGATTTTCCCCCTCTCCTCGTTCTTGATTTAACTCGTCTTGAGAGTTTATTTCTTATTAACAATTCAGCAGAAAAAAAATGTGCTCACCAACCTCTCTCTTTTCCATGAGGTCAGCAGGAGTTTTAACATCTACTTCAACGGTCAGAACTTCATAGCACTTGGAAATTTACACCTTAACTTTCTTGTGTCTCAAATCCCTCATTTGTGAAACTGAGTCTATAACATGACTCCTTTTTTTTTGATGTGGTTCCTCTGCCATGCTGGGCCAAATAATTTCAGATAATCATTTGTCAATAAAAATATCGTTTCAGTGGACTAAAATCTGCCTTGACTTATTCAACCAAGTTCAAGTAGATGCAGTTTAGCAGAAAACAAGTCACTGCAGAGTTTGGCCTGGCTCTCTAAAGTCCTTTGAAGTCTCAGATGAAAGAAGTGAGTAATAAATGTGGACCCTGAAACGAAAAGAAGAATGAGACATCCTCATTCTGTAAGGAAAATGAGCTTAACCTCATCATTAATCAACACCCAAAAACCAGGAATAAAAGCTAAGCCACGAAGACGTAATCAATCTGTTAGATGCTACTTGACAGATGCATTGAAAAACAGCAACAGTAAAGACCCAAAGAAATGTAATCTTAATCTTTATATTTCAATGGGCATCTTAAGCAGATTTTTCTTCCATTTTATATTCACTACTCTAATGCCCAGAGAACAGAAACTCTAATTACTGTTGCATGCTGAAGGCTGGCCACTAATTAGACATCTTTATCTTCATTAGATGCCTGTGAATAAGGCTGGCTCTGAAACAGAGCAGGTAAACTGGAAACTTGGAGATGCATTTTCAATTAAGAGCTCACTTTAAACTGGCAACTCATTTTAATGCTGCTGAAACCTGCCCTCCTGCTGCCTCCTGCTGTGGAGGAGTGAGTTCTGGGGGGATGTGTGCAGGAGCCCACAGTGTCCTGAGCTCTGGCTGGTGATATCCTCTTTCCACAGAGAGCCTGTGGAATGGTGCCACTGTGCAATGGTGTATATATGGATGAATAATACTAAGCACACAAGCTTTTGTTGGTATATTCCTGTCCTTACAATTCATGACAGATACACACTAAAGCTTTGTTTCCACTGTAACCTTTTTACCAGAGCTGGAGCTGAGCATTTTGCACACTACAAACTGCTCCAGATTTATATCAGACTAAACCACTACGCAAATACCCAATGAACACGCCAAATCACTCTGCTAAATTAAAACATCACTAAACAAAACTGATTTTTAAAATATCTTCCAAATGATATATCTGCTTTCAAAATCTTTTTTCCAGTTCACCAAAAAAAAAAAAGAGAAAGTAGTTGAGTGAGTTAGTGAGTGAGGACTTAGTCCATTAGCTTACACAACATAACACAATGGACCCCAAATAATTTCTTTCTGGTTTCAAACCTAGATTCAGTCCAACAGTTTCCTATACTTGGCAGATTTACCAGATTCAAAAGGGATTCATTAAAACAAAAAATGGTCTCTATCAAGACAGGCAGAAAGACATGTTGAATCAAAAAATACCAACGTGGTGGCTATACAGATAAATAGGAACCCTGAGGAGGTTCAGAAAGAGAAACATTAAAAAGTGCTGGACTTTGAAACTACTGGGGTTCATCTTATGCATAAGAAATTACCATAAAGAAACCACTTAAAACAAGTCCAATGAGTCTAAAAATTTCAAATCTTTTTTGGTCAAAACCAATCTCAAGAAAGATCATTTACACCTCTAACGTGTTCTAGTCTTCACGTCCCCCGTTCCAAGTTGTTCCTCTGTCACACGAAGTTACTAAACTTACAGGTATGTCTCAAACCCTCAACAATTTCCCACATGAACAGTAACAACCAAGACCCTGCACTCATCTGTGCCTAAAAAGGCAAAATATGTAGCCTAGGAAGAATATTTTCCAGGTAAGGAGGCCCAGGGAAGCTTTGGAGCTAAACATTACCCTCAGCTGTTTAAATCCAAATTAAAATGAACTCCTGTAACAGGCAGAAGCTTAGCAATCCAGTCAGCTCTAGGCTAAGGCAAATTTCACAAAGGCCAAGTCCTCAATATGGTGCAGTTCACAAAAGTTAATGGGATAACAGTGATTTCCAGCAGCTGGAGGGGTGGCCTGGAGTATTTGTAGTCATTTTGTGACATGCTGGTTATCTTACAAAAAATGCAATTTTAACTTTTATTTGCAGCCATGTCTCCTGTTTCCTCTTCTCAAGTGACAGCCACAGATGGGGCTAGGAAAAGATAAAAGCTGTTGTAGACAAGCCAACTTTTCTGTCTCATGCTGGAATTCTCTCTACCTTATCTCCCACCATCACCACTGCTGACTCTGTCCTTCCACTACCAGTAGCATGTGTTAACCATTCATCAAGCTGAGCAGAAATATGCAGGATATCTTACAAGCTTTTAGTAGTAATATTGGTACAAGTTGAAAGCCTTCAAGAAGCACCAATTTTCTTGAGGGTCCAGTCTGACCCTGTGATTTCAGTAATAAAAAGGCACTGAAAGTCATTCCTGCAAGTTCTCATTACTGGCTAGGAAAGTACACACTGAGTCACAACTAAAAGTAGCAGCATATTATTGCCTGGCATTTCTCTTTCAGGAAGTTTAGGTTATAGAGCTGTTGTGCAGAGTAAATTCACTGGTCTAGTGTCTTATGCAGTAGTTTCCAGTCTATGATTGGTGGCCAACATGTTTCCTATGAGACACTCTAGTACCAACTATGACCAAAGGAAGCACAAAAAATAAAACAAATGCTGTTTGCAATACACTACTGGGGCAGTACCAATTAGAGAAACAAACTTGAGTCACAGAGCTCCTGTTCCAATGTGGCAAATCAACTTCAAGAGGAATTACCTCCTTCTCTGGAACCTCAGCTGACAACATTCCTGAACCTACACAGCCATTATAACTGAAAAGGCAAAGGTAGAGTTAACTCTGAAAATACTTCGGAAGCGGGAAGTGACAGACAATTCCAAGGATTTGACAGGCAGGATGGAAAATGAGTGATTTTGTGTTTGGTTTGTTGCTTCACTGAACCAAACTACACAGCAATACAGCAATAATAAACCTTTGTGTTCCAGCAGTAGAACAGTTAAGAAGATGAAAGAACTTGTCCCATTAGAGAAAACCAGAGATTGCAGGGCCTCTGTCCTTGTGTAATGGAGCAGTATGATCCTACCTTAATGACATCTTCATCCGATGATCTGCACTCCACAGATTCCAGAAGATCAGTCACAGTCCCATCATCTTCCACAGAAACCACTTTGACAGGGACAGCCACTGTTTTCCCAGTGAGAATAGCTGTGTTCAGGATCTCTGCTTCCTAAAAGACAAAAAAAAAAAGGGCTTTAATTAATTTATTTTGCTACTAATTTATTAGTACCACCTAGATTCAGCTTTACTTTACTTCCTGATGTCTATGCCAAGAACTGCTCCAAGTGCAGCAGGCAGGAAGGACAAATTTCCTCCCTTCAATCCTGGAACCAAACTCCAAGTTCTGATTCAGGGCTGTTATTTGTCATGCCCTAATTGCTATTTCATGAATGCTCATCAAGTGCCAGAGCAACCTAATGCCTGAGGAATGACCCTGCACCACATAAACAAGATGCACCCTGCATCTAGCAGGGATGAGTGAAATCTCCATCCTGAGGAGCTCATTAATGATCTTGCTCACCACCTAAAAATAAAGTCTTAAGTCTTGCTGGTTTACCCACAAAACTGTTTTTATTGAAAGGTCTTCTACAAATACTGAAAATCTATGACATTGTTGGACAAATATAACCTTTAGACCAAAGAAATATTGTGTAATTGTTAGGGAAGAAGTTTGAAGTCAATCAGAAATCCACTTTGCTCCTAGTCTCTGAGTGATCTTTCACAAGTCCCTGCAGTGGGGAAGACTGTCTGAAATACACTTCCTAGCCCACTGACATCCTGCACAGGGATAACAGCTGCCCAACAGCCACCTGACAGCACATGGAGCCACCTGAGGTGCAGGTGTGCTCCAGCACAGCCTCTCACTGCACCTTTGGTTGAGCACTCAGGCTGGCCATGCATATAGAAGGAACTGGAGCTGTAGAGACAGGATTTAGGTTGCTCTCAGGGATGAAATCATTGGCAAAGTTGACACTTCACAGCCTGGAAAATGATGACACTGTCTCACCTAACATGTACCATGTGGTTTCCCTTGTTCTGCCTCCAAGGGAGTTAGTTGAGGAGTGTCACCATTCAGATCCTGACTCTGTGTACCACAGGACTGAGTGGAATCAGACCCTCTCCAGGTTTTCTAGAACTTATCCTGGCTCTTGTTGGATAATAGTGGGCAAGCACTTGCCCACAACTGCTTGTGACCTCTAAATGAGGTTTGTATAAAACCATCCTCTCCCAAAAAGGGGAAGGATGGTGAGAAGGGCCTGGGCTCTCTAAACAAAACTAGCTCTGTTGTGACCTGTGTCTGGTTCATCACTGTTGGGATGATTATTGCAAACCACATTCTTTCTGTTTGATTTATCACCTCTAATTTAAAAGTGCTGAGTTCTGATTATCTGAAAAGCAGGAGACTAAACATTGCTCTCTGTTACCTGGGTGTCACCTCAGTCTGGCACCACAGACATCACTGATCCCTGCCAAGATATGCAGAGAGCCAATTGCTGCCTGAATCCTTCCACCCCAATTGCAAACTCCTGCTCATTCCTGGAAAGATCTCTGAGCCTTTCAGAGCTGTGCCTCTGAACCATGGACTATCCTGTAGAACAAGAGGCTTGATTTCAGCTGGCTCTTGTGTAATAAAGGCTTCCAAAGCCCCCCAAGTGCTAAATTCTCATTATCTAAATAGCTCATGCTATGAGCTCTGAGACTGACCTGATTTTACTTGTGGAAGACAACAAAGTGGGAGATTGGAACCAAGTTACCAGAAGATGATGACTGCTCCTACTGCCTCTTGGGCTAAAGAGGAGAAGCTGAGATTTCTCTCATCTAAAGGATTCAGATAAAAAAGACCTTTTTGCAGTTATTAAAGAAACAGACACACTTTATTCAGACTCAAAGCAATATTTAAAAGCAGAAAAAACCCCTCTTGCTTGCTTGATAGCTGCTTTGCTAACGTTGCCCCATCTTTATGGGAGGGAGAAAGGATTTCACAAAAAAGAAAACTTGAGAAGAAAATCCTCTCCCTCCCTCAGCACAAAAATCCTTCAGATATTTTGAACTTTAATTCATACAGAGGTGAGAATATCTGCTTGTATGGTAAGGCCTGTCTGTCTGCAGTGCACATTTCTTCTCAGCACAGGATATATTACTCAGGCAATTGAGTTCTCAGATTTGCAATTAAGTTTCCAAACTTTTTGATTATATTATTTTTTCACATCTGGGCTTTGCACCAAAGTTATTGCAGCCAGTTTATTTAGAAACTTTTGCCACTCTCCTGGAGGCTCCACAGAGCTGCAAATGGGGCAGTTTGACAGAACAAATGCTATTAAGCATCCACTGTAATTACAGAAAGCAGGTGTTAGCTCCTGGTTTGCAAACACTTGGGCATGAATCTCATTTCATTGGGACTATTTGAGGCCACACCACCTACCTAGCTACTTACATCTTGTGCCAAGCTGAAACAGACCTGCTCCCCCAAGCAGAAACAGGTTCCTTCCTCCAGTTGATCCATTACAGCATGACCCTTGCAATTATTTTATAAAGCAAAGGGAAGTTTAATAACCAAGCCTTTGAAACAGTGTGATTAATGAGGTCTGCTTACCAAAGGCAAATGTAATTTCCCCTGGTAAGAGCTAGTAACTGAGAATGATTCTCAAAAGCTTCATGAATTTCTTTTGAGCCTCTGAATTTTCCAACGTTAGCGTTGGATCTTCCGAATACAGATTACATCCCAGGACACCTGTTACCTGCCACTTCATGGAAAAGCATATAAAACCAGAGTATTTAGTCCATCAGCTGTTTCACTGCCACTACCCTGTTCTCCTCCTCTAATAGAATGTGCATAACACATCTAACCCACAGGGAATTTCTGCATGCCCAGAGGCTCAGTCAGCTCCAAAGCTTAGTAACATGGCCTTGGGTTCTGCCTCAGAGCTCTCTGTCTGAGGCTGCAGTCTGACCTAACTCTATGAATAATCACATGAGCTTCAATGAGAGCACTTCAGTGCAGGGAGATGAGCAAATTCATACCTGATTGTACAAAGTAAGGAAGGCAATTCATATGTTGTCTCTATCCAAATTCAAAGATCGTGGGTTCAAAGTTTCAAAGCTTTTGTCTGTATCCACACTCCAGCTGCATGTTCAGAAACAAAGCATTTCCAGAACTGTACATAGTCTGTAGCAGCACCATGAGCAGCATGTGACAGTATTGCTGATGCTCAGGCAATCACAACAAGCTCCAAAACAATCTTTGTCCTCTCTCTCCCCCAAAGAAATGAGGGATGTGGGGGCAAGAAGTAATTCCAGGAGTTCATACAAATGGCTGTGGTGATTCTCTGACTCTCTAGCAACAACTACTTGTTCAGTCCCAGGCAAACAAATCCCCCCAATAGCTCTCTAAAGTAAAAGATGAGCAAAGCAAACTGGCACTGGTCTGAAACTGTGTGGATCTACACTGGAACAACTGAGCTGTACATCCTTTTTCCAGAGATTTCAGTACCTGCACATGTGTGGACTTGGAGGATGAATTCTTTAGGCACCTGGTTTGCCTCTCACCCCTGGACATAGAGGCATAATAACCATTTACACCAACTTACACACCAGGGGCAGAGTAAAATGCTCCTTCAGGCATTTGCTTAATGGCCAGAAAGGGCTTAACGTTCCCCTGGTGAAAGCATATGAAAATTATTTCATTTTGAGGAAATGAACATGATACTTATTTAGCTACATGGAAATTTATAGTTCAGAGTCTCAGCATGTAAAAACTGTAAATCTAAATAGTTACTAATTTAAAACTGTTGCTTTTTTGCTGCTTAAGTGATAAAGGAATCTCCTGAAGAAATATGATGTTCTCTATCCATAACTAATAGATTATAGGAGATAAGATGTCAGGGCACAGCAAAATGGGAATAGTTATACTTTTGCAAAGCTGTAGTCAAACAGTCCCAGTGCTAAAAGTTGATTCCCTGAGCAGTGATTAAAAAGATGCTGAACTTTTTTTAACTATTACACAGCATATCTCTATAATTCACATACTGAACTCCCAAAAAATAAAATGAAATAATTATTAGAGAAAAACATATTTCTTCATGGATAAGAAATAGAAGAGAAGGTAACCTTTATTCTGAAATTTCTACCATGGTAAATAAATAGTAATACTTTAAAGAAGATTCTGGAGTGAGTGTTCTTTGCCTACTGAAGAAATTCATATTAAATAACTGAGCACATTAAGCCCTCCAGCAGGAACATATTCAGGAGATGTATACAGTAAGCACCTATTTAAGTAGAAATGCAGAAGTGAATACCTATTAGTTTTTTTCAGTTTTAATTGGTAGCTTCCCTGCAATTTAATTTCCCTGCAGACATCTTTTGTCGTATAATTCCTAGGGTGAAACAAAGGACTTTAACAGTATCTTTAGAAATCTTAAGGAATTTCTGGTTTTTCCTTCTGTCTACACAGTATTTCCTAATGTTTATATATATACACTCACTTGAAAAAGAAATCAATGCATGACTAACTCATGCTTAGCTTTGAGGCCCCACATCTGATTTCTGACAAAGAAGAGTTCAGTCCTAACTGTCAGCATTCTTTTCCAAAAGCATGAGTCAACACCCCAGTTGAATCCTGAATCCCTGTTAGCCTTCACAAACCTCACAATGCTACGAGCAGCAGTGAGCAAGGCATCAGCTTGTTTGCAAAAAAGACCTGGAGACATGTATCCTCAAAATAACTGGGCTGGATCTGCAGCTCAGGGTGGCAGTGTGCCCTCCCCTTTTCTGCTTAAACTATAGCCACCAGTGGTGGTGGTGTTGGCTGCATCTGGCTGAAGTTGGACTCTCAGGAGACAGGTGATGACACAATAGCTGAGGGCCATAAATCCTGCTCAGCAGCTGAGGGCTGGTATCCAAATATGACTCTAAGTCAATCATCTTAATAAATAGTGGGCAGCCCAGGGCCTGCTAAGCATCCCTGCATGGCTGTGGCTGCACACCAGGATCTCCCCTTGAGTAGAGACACTTCTCAAGGTTACTCCTCCAGGCTGAGAGAATCCTTATCAAATGTTCACTGAGAGAATTGGGAAGAAAAGCACTGAAACACTGAAATCTTGGCTAGGTGATTGATTGCATATGTACAATCCTTTAGACATAAAGCATTGATGAAGTCTGGGACTAAGTCTG